TGTTCCCGGTTACCGGGTCTGTATACACCTTCGTTAAAGCAAAGTTTATTTACGTGTTTTAGGGATTGTCATTAGAAAGGCCCAGCCTGTGATTTTTGATGAATGGTATTATTTTACTCATGGCTCATTCATGCACCTGTATCACGCTCTGTTCTCGCGTTTTCTTTTTCATTTTATTTTATCTCTGCTTTTTATACATATTTTGGCTTTTATGTCTACTGCGAATTATTAATTTATGAGATGTATGGATATTGTATATGAACTAGGCTATAAGAACCAATTGCGTCATAATATTTGACCTGTTTTTAACATTGTTGGGGGTTTCAGGGAGGCAAACCCACTGACTATTTCTCTGAACATTCGGGAAAATAAAGTTGAACTCTATTTCTCCGAACGGTTTCCGATCTTGAGAATTCTGGTTATCGAAGTGTATACGGACTCGGTAACCGGGAAAAAAGTCACGTAGTATACAGACCGGGTAGGGGAACTCTTTTGTGAGGTCGGAAAGTTTGAACGCCCAGAGCCGGTAGTGTGTGTGTGTGTGTGTGAGTAGAGAGAGATGCCCCAGTTGACAGGAGGGAACGAGAGAAAGTGGGAAATAGGTTGGGAGAAAGACAGACAGAGACAAACAAAGAAAAATAGAATGCGAGCGATACAGAGAGAGAGAGAGACTGCTCTGTTAAATTATGACATTGTTCTTTTATTCAAACGACCTCCAAGTCCAAAAACGGAGGAAATACGATCATTCACCAAAAAGACATCCGCAATCTTTATTTCTAGGTCTAGATCAAGGCTAACCTCGAAACTAGATCAATGATTTATGTCTATCTACTATCTAGACCTAGGCCATAGATCTAGAAGAACCTAGGTCTACCCTGTGCCAAGAGGGCGCTGAAACTTTCCGAAATCACAAAAGAGTTCCCCTAACGGGTCTGTATATTTTGTGGCTTTGTTCCCGGTTACCGGGTCTGTATACACTCCCTTTGGTTATTTGCGAGATTTATGCGTCATCCTTTCATTCTGCCATTCTGCGAGGACTGGGAGAAGCATTTTTTGCATTGAATTCATTTTCTAGAGCTAGAGATTTTTAAATGTCTGAATATTCAGATACTTCAGTTGTGGTTGGGCAACGTTCCCGGACTTTTATACTTCATTTGAAAATACCTTCAAAAGGCACTGCGAGAAAACAAGACTGCTCGACCGTGGCAGTAACCTATTTTTCATTTAGTCACCGAGCAAAAACAAAAATCCTTCTTGTAAAAAAAAAAAAGATCCCCCCCCCACCCCCATTCACACCTTACACACACACACACACACACACACACACACACACACACACACACACACACTCACATGCGCACTCACACACACACACACACGGGCCACTCCATTCGCTTATTATCAACAAATTTCGAGAACGGAAAGCGTTTCGGAGAAATAAAAGTTCAAGTTTATTTTCCCGAACGTTCGGAGAAATAGAGCCGGCCAAAACTAAAATTCTTCTTATGATGACCTCGTGTTAAAAAAAATCCCTCCACGCCCCAACCCGTTCACACCTTACACACACAGACAAACACACACACACGCAACACACTCATGCACACTCACGCACACACACACACACGGGCCACTCCATTCACTCAACATGTATTATTAGCAAATATCGAGAACGGAAACAGTTCGGAGAAATATAGCCGGCCTTAAAAAATCTGGGAGGTTTCAGGAACGGCCACATTTTCATTTATTCTCACCTGGAACCTGGTGTGCGTTCACCATGATGGCCTAAGCCAACCAGTGTAGCGTTCACCGTGAACAAACATTCCAGCGCTCTTGTGTTGAAAGCATGCAATTTTGTCTGTGGGCAGTGAGGGGGAGAGAGAGAGGAGTAGCACGAGAACTTCCCGGCAAAACAAATTGGAAATCCGTGTAGTTCCGCTCGTTTTGAAAAGTGAAATAGCCATAGCATTTTTGTAGACGATCAAATTAAAGCTAACTTTTGTTCTTTTACGTCATTTTTTGGTTTGTTTTTGTCTATTTGATCATACACACCGATAGTATTCTGAAAGTGAAAGGGAGTGTAGACAGACCCGGTAACCGGGACTAGCCTAGATTTAGAATCTAGAGCCTAGAATCCAGATCTAAATGAAGATTGCGAATGTCTTTTTGATGAACGATCGTTTTTCCTCCGTTTTGGAGTTGGAGGAATCACAATTTGAAGAAAAGAACAATGTCATCATCGCTCGCCTTCTCTTTTTCTTTGTTTGTCTCAGTCTTTCTTTCTCCCCACCTATTTCCCACTCTTTTCTCTCGTTCCCTCCTGCCAACTGGGGCATGTCATACATTTTGCTAGTACCTCTCTCTCTCTCTCTCTTTCTCTCTCCTCTCTCTCTCTCTCTCTCTCTCTCTCTCTCTCTCTCTCTCTCTCTCTCTCTCTCACTCTCTCTCACACACACTCACACTCGCACTACCGGGTCTGGGTGCTGAAACTTTCCGAAATCACAAGAGTTCCCCTACCGGGTTTGTATACTTCGTGACTTTGTTCCCGGTTACCAGGTCTGTATACACTCCGATTCTGAAATGAGGGAAACAGGTCTTGTTTCACACCGGGTGAGAAAAGCCAATGCTGGCAAATCTCACCCAGGGTGAGAGGTCGGTCGTATTTTTATTTTTACCCGGGGTGAGGATAGCCACTTCCTTCAGGAACATGAAGCTACAGCGAGCACCTAGCACACCTCTCAGATTGGCCCACATATAGATGGTGTATGTCTATTTTTGTCGGTATTCTGGGGTTTCCCTTGCCAGTTGACTAGATCTTGCCTTGGTGACTTGGTGGGCCCGTTTTTGCAAATTAGCACGAGATGGGCTACGTCACTGGGCGGCGACGCG